TTTTTTGATGATTATTTAAAAGGCAATTGAATGCCAAATTGTAATAGTTAGGTCTCTATCTGCTCTTATTTGCTTTGTGTGTTTGCATACTTGTATGTTTACGTGTTTACTAGTTTTCTTAGGGGCTTTGCATTTATATATCATGTGTTACGTGCTACGTGCTCTTATGTGTTTATTTATTTTAATTTATGCCTTATTTATCGTATTATGTGTTAAGAATGCATGACGTCACTACACTAGTCCAATGCTAGTTGTGGTTTCTCCCTCTATTTACTTGCTAGTCCAATGCTAGTAAAGATTTTTTTTAGAAATGGGCTAGTCCAACGCGAGACCCGTAGATGGTTCATGCATTAGATTCATCTTTTGTATGATATCCATTACATTTTCATGTATATTTTTATTTTAAGATTTTTCTCATTTGCATGATATTTCCTATTATATTATCCCCTACCCTCTATATGTGTTAATCATATCATTTAGAATTGTATCTCATTTCAGCTAATTCATTTGCTTGCTCATGTTAGGAGAATTATTCTTTGAACATGGGAAATGGGTGATTATAATTCTTTAGTTTAAATACCCATTAATCCCTGTATAAGAAAATTAGGTCACGAGATTTTGTCTCCCGTATCTATTATGTTGCTTTTCTATTCTTTGCGCACTTATATCTAGATATATAATTTAAGTTTCTTTTCTTTTCTTTGAATTCAATTTATGCATGCTCGTGACCCCTTCAAGGAATTATTTGGGCTTCGCTATCAATGCGATTGGTATCAATTAAACTCTTGAATGGATATTTTGTCCCTTTCGATATTTTATAAATTTAGATTTGCATTCATGTAGAAAACATCCAAATGTGATAGAATTAAGAGCTAGATTAGGAAAATTTTGACTAAATCTCGCAACTAACTTAGACTAAGTTGAAAGGATGCCTTAAGTTTGAGTTAATCAAATCTTTGCCTTCCCTTTCTTCGACTGTGACTTCCGAACCTATTTTCTCTTGTTTTTCAAAGACCTGTAGTTGTCGAAAGGAGTTTTATTTTATTTTATTTTTGTTAAAAAATATTTTTTGGGGTGACTTGGTACACTCAAACTCAATACCAAGTGGCGACTCCTATTTTCTTTAAAATCCTTTTGACTAAATTTTTGGATCCAAACTGTCGCATTTTTTAAAGTCTCATTTTAGGTCCCTTTTCACATATTCTTTTCACTTATTTTAAATAAAACCAAATCTTTTGTAATAATATTTTTTTTCCATCGCGAAAAATAGGGCGCAACAACTTGGCGACTCTACTGGGGACGCTAGAGAGTCCAAGCACTTGGTTTAGTTGTTTTTTTATCTTTCTAACCCTTTCATTTATCATATTTGAATGTTTTAGGTTGCATTTTTCTTTTTTTCAGAATGTTTTACATTTCACACTAGTATTCGTTCCTCATTTTTTGTGTATGTGATAAATGGTTTATCTATTTACTTTTGTTTATTTACTTATTTATATCGCACTTAGCATTTGGGGATGGGGAGCGACATTACCATAGAGCCTTCATGCATGTTTAAGGGTATTACTCCTTCCCCTCAAATGAGCACTTCATACGTGCATACGTTATTATTTTTAACCTTTTATCTTATTTTCTTTTAGTGGTTATCACACCACTCCTCCCTGTTAGGATTAGGATCGATCCACTTGAACATGTGACCGTGGCACGACATGCACGTAGTAATGTCAAAGGGGTCACTCGAGCCACCCACTAAAAACTTTGGAATTGAGGACCCTTCGCCCTTTTGTCTGAAGGTTTGGGAATCTGAAACTTTATCGAGTTTAGATGCATTAGTGAGCCCAACCTCATGCATCCATTTAGAAATCACCTAAGATAGAGCTTTCATATACCCTATCAAGAACACTAGACACAAGGGGAGGGATTTTACCCCCTCTCTTTTTCTTTTTTATCTTATATTTATGTATTATTTTGTTGATCCAATCTGTTATGTGTTGTTTATTAAACTAACCATTGTTTTATTTTCTTATATTGCATTCATAAGCCCTAGAAACAAGAGTCCTGGAGGGCAGACCACCTTTTGTAAATAGTACGTTTAAATTTCAGTTTATCGCGTTAATACTATGTATATATATATATAAGTAGGGATATTTATGTAATTTCGTATGACTTGCGAGCAGTTCGCGAGCCGCTCGAGCTTTCGTACAGATGGCTCAAACTCGACTCGTGTTATAAACAAGCCACTCGAGCTCGTCGAATGTTGACCAACCTCGCGAGCAGCTCGATTCGTTTGCATCCTATGAGTGACAAAGCAATTCTTGCTTAAATTCTTGACCGGAAACCTGCTTCTGCAACCCTTTGTTCATCTCGTCATCATCAGGGCCAAGTGATTGAGAAGGTATTTTCTGGATGACGTTTTTGGTTCTTGAGCGATACTTCTTTCTTGACTCTCGTCTCGTCATGATCTCCTTAATTAATAGGTCGTGTTTATTGAGCTTTGGAAGATATGATCACGAACCATAATCTGACAAATTTGCTTAGAATTGAGGTGAATAAATTGAAAGTTTTTTTTTTCTTTCCTTTTTCTGATGAAGACGAATTTGGAAAGAATTCTTGCAATGCTATCTTTCCTAATGATTGGCCAATTTTGTTGTACTTCAAAATTACTGACTGGCTTTGGATAAGTGTAAATCTCCAGTACCTAATCTTCATTCATTTATAATTTGATTATTACCATACATCGGTTAAATAAGAATCGCATGAGAAGTTGGTCTTTGATCAATGAAGTATTGCCAATTGCACAAATAAAGCCCCCCCCCCCCCCCCTAAAAAAAATCTTATTTAAATTATATATAATGTAGAATTAGTGAGTACCACAATCTTATTTGTAGCATTTTTATTAGTCAAGATAAAATTTGTTGATTGATTCCTATATTTCGCTTATTTACAAATCAGGGCTCAATGTTGTCATTCATAGCATCTAACAAAAATTTTGGGGTGTTGTAGGGTGGGGAGGATTTGAGAGCATATGGATTATATTATGTACTTCAGTTTTACTGGGTAGCTTTAAATAAGCAATAAATCTTCACTAATCAATCTTTCTATGTTGATTGATTATCGAATATCTTTACTTGTAGTTTGTGTACATGCACACTTATTTACAATTCCTTCTTCAAATTAATTAAATTCTCACATCTATTCAAGAATTATGCAATAGCTACTCGTTAAAAAGTTATTAGATCTATTTCAAACTAACATAGATGTCACTTTATAAGAAAAAATTTGTAATCCGACAAATATGGTAGCATTAACCATTAAGGCTTCCATTGTTCGACTAACAAAATCCACATGACTAAATTGAGAATTTTCTATAATTGATTAAATAGCACAAATTTTCACCAAATTAATATGTTCACCAAATTTCTTCTTTTTTTAGGATTCATTTGGTTTATGGGATGACACGAGATTGAATTATTAATCCTATGATATCCCATGTTTGATTGCATTTTATATATGAGATAATACATTTCACCTAACTAAATCAATCCCCCATATGGGAAATAAAATAATCTCATTGGGTGAAAAGTGATAAGAGTTATCTCAGGATAAACAAGAGGTAAGATGATAATGATTTGGAGTTATATGCCCCCACTAATAGAATAATACTTTATTCAAATCCCCTCTTTCCCTTCTACGCTTCTTAAATTCAATCCTTTCCCTTCTATACCAAAAAAAGAAAAAAGGAAGACTCCAAACTATAGTGGAGGGAAAGAAAGAGGTGGGCTTGAGAGTTGAACCTCAAGGCCACAAATAGATGTTACATTTTGATCTTGTTAGATTCCTCTTCTATTTTTGGTTTTCTGGACAACAATATGCCTTCTAAAGGTGTTATGGTTAGACAAGTCTCAAGTAAAATCATTATTATTGGCCAGATAGTCATTGTAATTTTGTACATAAACTTAATCACAACTAAGGGGAGAGGAGTAGGGTGGCCTTGAGCTTCCAATCCCAGACTCATCTAGTTAATGTTTTTACCCAGTTGAAGTAGATCTTTGAGACACTAATACGCTTTCTAAAGGTGTTAGAGCTTGATAATCTAAAGGAAATTCATAATTATAATTTTTCCATGTAAACTTAACCACAACTAATTAATCCAATAGATATACATGTTGGTTTTATTCCCATACTTATTCAAACATGCTAATCATCTGATCATGACTGTGAATAATTTTACCCTCTTTTAACATTAATTTCGGCAGAAATAAATGTAAGATTCTTTATTCTGATTAGAATCATGACGCGTTTTCCAAATCTTAGGTACTCCTAAGTGGTAGGCGACTTGCAACTTTAGTCCAGTGGATAATGTTTCACAATTCGATCAAAGCAATTCCGAAATTTTCAGAGTTTTCACTACATCTAGGCCATCCAAATTTTGCCTATGCAAAACCTGGCAAATTACTCTAATCCAATTAAAATGACTTTTTGTTTGGACAGCTGATTATTTTCCCAAATATATTTGTTTATATCATCATTACAATTTTCAATACACCTTTTTATCTCACATACATCACATCACAAAAAGTACTACAGTAAAAATATCTCAAATAACTTACAATCCAAACAAATCGTAAATTATAGTTTATATTTTCATTCATTGGATAATCTTGTTTAACGTTTAGTTGTTTGGATGTAGACAAATAGACGAGTAAATGAAGAAAAATCCAAATCAAGAATTATTTAATTTTAACTTTGATCTGTTCACAACATTGTTTAAATGTCATGATGGCTTATCATACTACTTCATTGAGGTGGTTTTTGATCTTGAATATGGCAAGGCAAATTTTTTCCCTTGAATAATGTATATATACGGCATAGATTTTTCATATATTGGCCTATAAAATTTGTTACTGCAGATTTTTAGTGATGTTCTCTTGCTTTTTTTTTTTTTTTTTTTTCAAATTAACTTCTCAGATGCTTATAAGACAGTGAAGCTAATTTAGTATTAAGCAATCATACTTTTTTTCATCCACAATATATGTATCAAACAAATTGAATCAAATCCGCAGGGCTTATGAAAGAAACTGCCAGTCTTGAGGCTAAATTTGTACAAACAAATTGATTAAAAAATTTTCAAAAAAAAAAAAATTCAAACACCAAAACACGCAGATCACACACTGGAACAGGGGTTTTGATTAGACTCGTCTTCTTGTTGACGCAGCATGAATGGCAGCAATGTACAAGAGTTGAGTGGCTGAGAGAATGATCAAGAATGCTTCCATAGTTCTCTGAGAAAGAAAGAAATTTATTTTCGACATGAATTTCGTTCCATTTCCAAATTTTACCAAAAGAAATATAATGCATGTGGAATACTAACCAGACGGGCATTCCTGATGCGTAGTTCAATCTCTTTACAAGCAACGCTGGAAAAATCGATGCATTTATTTTCATGTCAGTGAATGGTCCAAAAACGTGGAATTCTATGATATTTCTATTTTTCAATCAACTATCCTAATGAAGATATGCTTTTATTTATTAAAAAAAAAGAAAATTGAAAGAAATGAATATTTCAAATTTGATCACCCCCTAGCAGTGAAATGTACTACTGTGGTTAAAGAAATTACCCCATGGCCAGAAGCGTTAGACTCCAGGCAATTGTGGCAGCAGAAGCAGCAGCGGGCAAGCTATCAATGTCCCAGAAACGAAGATGGTTTACTCCAGTTATGATAGATGCTACTCCTACAACACCAGCAATCAAGGAAAACAGCACAAGAAATCCAGTGGCTGCATTTCCCATGGGGAAGTATATAGGTGAAAAGTGGGCTGGTAAGTCAAATCCGGCACCTGCAAAAATAATCCTCCGTAGAATTCATTACCATATATCCAAAAAGAATTTTACCAAAAAAAAATTCCATAAATTTTTGTTTTTAGTATCACTACTATAAATAAGGTAAATTCGGATGTATACTAACCAATGACGAAACCATGATCAATGGCTCTATTCAAAGACCAGCCACCAATGCCCAAAATTATGACGTACATGCAGAAATTAAGAGCTAGTAGGAGTCCGGCGACAGGTCTCATTGCCTCAACAGCCATTCTGGAAAAATGGCTATCTGAGCTAGTCTGGTGCTGGGGGCAGAAAATTGTATTTTTCTACAAAGTTCTTTACACCTACATGTGTTTCTTGCAAGTTCTTGGGGTCTTATAAGTGGTTAATGTCTTAGAAGAACTTGGTTCCTTTCTTCTAAGGCTGAATTGCAAAAAAGGGCTTTCGTGGGGTTGTAAAGGAAATGCTTCATGCTCAAGGAAAGGAACCTAAGTTCCGATCCCTTGTTTGATCAGGGACTTTTAGTTTGGTCTTATTAATTCTATCTGTGAGGAAAACTTTATTCTCTCCATCCCCTTTTGCAATCTTTAATGAATACATTAGGTGGCTCAAAAATTTTAAAATGCAAAAGTTTAAGTTTGTCAGGATTGAAAATTATTAACACCAGGGATTCGGTATATTTTGTATTCCCCAAAAGGAGTAAAGAAATGCTAGTAAGCAAAGAATATTCCTAGTGCTTAACCTTTGAAATTGGATAATTGATACTTTCCATGTGTCTTCAAACTGTCAAAAGCAAGAACTCAAGCACTTAAAGAACAGATTTAATGAGCAATCATTGAGTGTATGTGCCTATATGTATATGTATATATGCCTGAAGAAAATTAACTGTTTTGAACCTGTAAAAAGCAATCACTTGTAATCATTTTTCCATAGTCCACCAAAAGATTTGAATACATGTGCAGCACAATATTCAGATTGAAGAGAAAAAATGATTCCCCGTCGAATGGAATGCAATGCAATGAAAATCTAAGGACAAATCTCATAATTCTTGAGTCAGAGTCTAATGATTTTGGGGATTACATAGTTGTGAAAGAAATAGGTGTTAAGCATCTCTTTGCAATTGACAAAAACAAATTATAAATTAAGTTATATGGTCATGAATCATATTAACCAAATTACACGCTGTGGTATGTTAAGTCATGCATGAATTAAGAATAGGAAAATTCTAAGTTACTGACATTTGTGGTCGAAGTGTATAATATCAATTTGATTTTGGGGAATAAACTATTACTGCCCCTAAAGTTTGGGGGATCATGTGTCCTTGAATATAAGGAGCAAAATTTGCATTTTATTATACACAGTTTTAAACACCGTTTAAAAGAAAACCCCAAAAACATTGAGTTTGTTTGGATAAGAATTTATTTGGATGATTTATTTGATCCAGTTACTGTAGCACTTTTTATGATGTGATGTATGTGAGATAAAAAGGTGATTGGGAAGATAAAAAGGTGATTGGGATTTGTGAGAATAAATTTTGCAAACCAAATACTCTCTATCCAAACAAACTCATTGAAATTCAAGAGGGAAAGTATACATTTTATTTTGGTTCAGGGGAAAAAGTATTATTACCCTAAAGTTTGGTGCTAAAAGGTTTTTTAGTTATTTATTACCCCAAAGTTTAGATGCATCTCTTTCGAACATTATTCTTGATGTGCACTGTAGTACCTACATCCCACTAACCCATTCTTTAGCAATTAAATTTGTGAGAATTTGAAATTTGGGGTTGGTTCTATCAAAATAGGCAAACTTTTGGGTAGACCCGATCTATATAGATTTTGTAATCTAAATTTTGCCACATTATCTCGCCAACTCAAGAATTGATGGTATGATAAAATTTGGATTACATGATCTACAAGACCAGATCTACCTAAGTTTTTGCCATCAAAATAAGTTAAGAGGTTGAGAGACTAACTGATAATAGTGAAAATATATGTAGGTTAAGTTGAAAAAAAAATTAAAAGAAGATGCACTTTATTGTTTCCCTTTCTCTCTCTAGGATTATCTTGCAATCCTCTTCTTCCTCGAGGTGAAAATCAAGAAATTCAATAATGTAAAATAGGCAGGGGAAAAAAGAAGCATAGGCAAAATTAAAGGATTAAATATGTAAAATGCAATTTGTAGTCCCCCGAAGACACAAGTCATAGCGGGCCTAGTTGCTGTTTTTTACCATAATCTAATGTTAACTATCTAACGGCTAAGCCAATGAATCGATATGCTGTTTCTTCGCGCCTTATTTCAAAAGTTAAACTATATGTCAAGATCATCAACCATCCAAAGAAATTTTGTCCCAATTCTTCTCATAAAGCCCTTCAAATCTTTGTTGCGCTTTGCAAAATACTCTACATTAAGTGCTCCCAGTTGTAATTCAGTCCTGCATTATCGCATAAAAAACGGAAAACTCGATGAAGCAAGAGCAATTTTTGATAAAATTATAACACCAGATGTGTACTTATGCACTAGGATGTTATCTGGGTATTTGGAAAATCGTAGATTCGATGAAGCATTGGAACTGTTTGATGAAATCCCTGTGAAAGACATAGTAACATGGAATTTAATGATGAAGGGGTGTTTCGATTGTGGGGAAGTTGAGATGGGTTTGACACTGTTTGATGCAATGCCTGAGAGGAATGTGATTTCCTGGACTACTTCGATGAGCGGATTGTTAAAAGTTGGACTAGTTGAAGAGGCTGAGAGGTTGTTTTTGGGGATGCCTGTGAGGGATGTAGCAGCATGGAATGCAATGATCTATGGGTATTTTGCAAATGGAAGAGTGGACGATGCGATGAAGTTATTCAATATGATGCCTTCTAGGAATGTCATATCATGGACCTCGATGATTAGTGGGCTTGATCAGCATGGGAGGACTGATGAGGCTCTGTTGATGTTTGCAAAGATGGTGGGGTTTGGGATTGTGCCCTCTTCCAGTACTTTTTCCAGCGTAATTACAGCTTGTGCAAATATGTTAGACTTATATCTAGGTGTTCAAGTGCATGGGTACATATTGAAGTTGGGATGCCTTTTGGATGCATATGTCAGTGCTTCTCTTGTCACTTTTTATGCTAATTGCAAGAAAATGGATGATTCTCTTAAAGTATTTAATGAGAAGCTGCACATGAATGTAGCTGTATGGACATCCCTTTTGACGGGATATGGTATGAACAGCATGTATGAAGAGGCATTGAATGTTGTGGTGTCCATGTACAGAAATGGGGTTCTTCCAAATCAATCTTCTTTAACAAGTGCTTTAAATTGTTGTTCTGAAATGGAAGATGTTGATCAGGGTAAAGAAATGCATGGTGCAGCAGTCAAGCTTGGATTGAACACTGATGCTTTTGTGGGTAATTCTCTAGCTGTATTGTATTCTAAATGTGGAAATTTAAAGGACGGGATAGTCATATTCAAGGAGATTTCAGACAAAAACATAGTATCATGGAATACCATTATTGTTGGATGCGCACAACACGGATGTGGTAAGTGGGCACTCACCTTTTTTGGCCAAATGGTACGTGCACGAGTGTGCCCTGATGATATTACATTCACAGGTTTGCTCTCAGCTTGTAGCCATAGTGGTATGCTTCAGAAAGGAAGATATTTCTTTGATTATCTACGGCAACACAAAACCATGGAGGTGAAGCTTGAGCACTATGCTTGTATGTTGGATGTACTCTGCCGGTGTGGAGAATTGGAAGAAGCAGAGAATTTGATAAGAAACATGCCCATGAGACCAAATTTGTCAATGTGGCTTTCTCTCCTAAATGGTTGCAGGAAAGATTGTAATTTAGATTTAGCTGAAAGAGTCGCAAAAGATGTTTTCTCTTTAGATCCAGATTGTAGCTCTGCTTATGTATTGTTGTCCAACATGTATGCTTATGCTGGTAGATGGGAGGATGTTGCAAGAACTAGGGTGCAAATGAAAAAAAGGAGAACGATTAAACAGCCTGGATGCAGTTGGGTGACTCAAAAAGGTGTGCGACACATATTTGTGTCTGGTGATAAGTCACATCCTCTGAGCAGCAAAATATATCAAAAGTTAGAGTGGTTAGGGGAAAAGTTGAAGGAGTATGGGTATGTCCCTGATCGAAGGTTGGCTTTACATGATGTGGAGGATGAACAAAAAGAATCAATCTTGTCATATCATAGTGAGAGGCTTGCTATTTGCTTTGCACTCATTGACAGTGAGGAGAGAAGTGCTATAACAGTAATGAAGAATCTACGTGTGTGTGAGGATTGCCACTCTGCCATCAAGGTAATAGCAATAATTGCTAATCGTGAAATCATTCTTCGAGATTCTACTCGCTTTCATCATTTCAGGGATGGGTTATGTTCCTGCAGGGACTACTGGTAGTATGATCAAGACAAGATTAAGCTCCTCTCCATACAAATTACCTCCAGTTCTCCTAAGTATAGGCTTTCATTGTTGTTGACATGTGTACTTTGCCAATATCAATAGCTTATGTGATTTTTGGTTGGCCCTGATAGTTAACTTTGGTTGGGTAGCTGTGGTTAAGGTTGCTTAGTAAAGTCTCCATCTCTCCACGATTATCATATCACTGAAAAGCATATCAAAATCCAATTAGCTGAAGATCAATAGCATCCTTTGACATTTCCATCCTATTTTAATACATAATTGATTGGAAAATGTGGAGGAAGACAGATTGGCTTTTGGCCCTAAACTTTCACGTCTGACTAAAAAGCCAAGGTCACACAGGATAAGAAGAAGAAGACAAAGAAGGAGAAAAATATGTCTCAATTGATTTCACCAATATAACAGGTATATCTCTTATTTGTAGAAAGTTTATTTGTTGTGGGCTTGTAATTCAAATGAAGAAGAAAATAAGATAGAAGAATTTGAGGATAGCAATTCTGCCACAATGTTTTAGTTTGCCAAGAAGTCATTGATTATTTGTTTGAATGAAAAAATAAAGCATCAGAGAGCTCATGTTCGAACTTGATAGCTAGTAATTGCATTAAATTTCATTGTTGGTATAAGATGTTAATCAAACGATTGATCCATTATTTAGTTTTAATCTAGTGTGTGTGTAAAGCAAAGCGGAGGGAAACCATAAAGAAGATAGAGAGATAGGTCATCTTCTTCGATTTACTGTATATACTGCCATTGTCAGGAGTTCTCTTTCTGAAATTGATAGCTGTTTTTTCCCTGGAAAGTAGACTACCATAGATTGATGGTCTCTTTATTTTGATAAGGCATTGCATTTGGAGATTTGAGTTGTTACAATTTTCTTCTATAACTGTTGGAGAATCATAGTATGATTACCACTGATTCATTACGTTTCCCTTCTTTATATTGCCTCTCAAATAGCTTTTGACTTGTTACTGTTACTGAACTTCCAAGATGGAATTTCCTTCTTAAATTGATCACTAATCTTGGTCAATATTTCTTGGATAGTGAGCTTTTTGCGTAATTTATTTTGGTTTGACATCTACAAAGGGAATATCTTCTCTGGCAAAAAATTTTCACTATATGGTTAGTTGACTGATGATTGGAAGACACTCAAGGAGATAGTTTAAAGAGATTAGAAAGAGTAACATAGCTTTAAAGGATCTGATACGTAGATTTCCATTTTCTTGCCTTCTTCTCTTGGCTTTTAAGTTGATCATCTGTACTTTTGATGCATTTTCAAATGAAAAGAACAACATTATGGCCTCGATGATGATATTATATGCAATCGTATTAAATTAAGCTTGGATATCAAGAGAAATAGACTAGAAGAATTTAGAGAAGAAGCATAAGGTATAAGAGACCAGAAGAATTGTCAGAATACCTATAGTGCTCTTCTATTTACTTGTATATCTTGTAACTATTAATTTCTTTAGGTTTATGGAAAGTTCCCCAAAGGAAATGGGGAACAATTACATTGCCATCTGACAGGCTAGCTCATCTTTTCCAACTGAAATCTGGGAGTGGACTTTGACTCGATTCAAAGATGCACATACTTGCTATGAAGCTATGCTGCAGCTGTTAATTTTAGTATTCAAAAATAATACGAAGCAAGAAAATACATGATAGTCCCCGTTCGGATTGCTATTTTCAGGAGTTTTTGCAGAAAAAAAGTACCGTAGCGATTTGATGTATGTGAAATAAAAAGGTAATTAGAAAATGTGTTAATGGAAAACGTAAAAATTTTTCTGTGAAAAATCACAATCCAAACAAATGTAAATGCGTTGTTGGAAAGAAGGCTACAAGTAAAGATTGAGGGATTTTCTGGTGAAGAAACCAAGCAAGGAAACTTGAACGGATCTCCAGTCATATAATCATCCAGCTGTTCCAGCATGGCAGAGATCAGGTTACTTCTTTCGAAGCTAAGCATAACCACCATCTTGTTTCATCATAAATGTCTTGCTTATTGCCATCAAATCTAAACAACGTGCTCGATCTGTTGAACTGGACTTAGCCAATTAATGATGCAAGAGTACAACCCAAAGAAGCTCATCTCTCTACACAAGCTTGGGGTGAGAATTTGTGGGATTTACTAGAAGAAACATTAATGTATATTCAGTAACAGTCACAAAAATGACTTGAAACATCGGAAGTCTTGTAGCTTGTCAGTGTATTTTTCAAACTCGTTGACTAAAAGATCCTTGATCATATTAGTCATATCCCTTGACCCTTTTGACAGAACTATGGATTGAAGAAAGCCTTGAGATTACTGGCATTATTCCTTGGCATGAACAATTATAGGGTAGTGATGTATTTTTGTGAGGGTGCTAATTTCTTTGCATGGGTTTTTTAGACATTTTCCGCAGCGATATGTGAGAAGCTTAAGACGTTCATTTTAGATGAAGATAATGGAATAATCATTGTTGTTCAGTTGGTAAAGGTTGAGTCATATGATCATTTGTGCGTTTGACACTTTTGTAAAAAGTTGCGAAGAAGAAAACATCTTCATCATCCTTATATAAACTGATGACTAATTTTCAGGTGATGTTAACAACTTAATTTACAAGGATGAAACTGGGGCTTGAAAAGAATATTGGTTGAAAGAAAATTTTGCACTCAGACAAAAATGGTTTCTTGTGCGTGAACAACATACGTCTTAAGTAGGTCTGAGCAGCAGTCAGTTAAGTCAGATTTTGAATGGTTCATTGAGGGATTATTTGAAGTTTGATTGGGATTTCATACGATTCTTTAGGTTTACTGTGAATTACAAGCGTAGATAGCCCTAAATTGGAAAATAAAAAAGGAAAAAAATACACTGCAGAGAAAAGAATTTATGTGTTTCTTATGAATTTTCTCAACCATTCTCATTGGAAAACAATCCCTTTTTTGCAATTATTACTAACTTGTAATTAAAAAAATGTACACAAAAACAAAGCAAAAATAGTAAAGAAGACTAAAATCACATGAAAATCTATAAACCAAAAAATAGTGTAAATGTAGAAACACCAATCCTGAGGTCAGCCCAGTAATCAGGAGATGATTCTTAGTGTCTTTCCCCCTATCCGGTTAAAATCAGCAGCATAAAGGCAAAAACAGAAATAAGAACCATAAAAAATGAAAGGTTAAGAATTTTGATAAGAATCAGCAGAAGCTGCATAAAATCAGCAGAATAGAAGCGAAAATTTCACTAAATTTAGTTCAGCTCAGAAACGCTATTGCATCACAGCACCCAAAAAAAATAAAAGAAAAGAAAAAAATGCTGAGACAAAATGGAAAGCAAGAACTAAGACAAAAGCCAAAATGAAATAGAAATTCGTGTCCTATACCGTTTGAGGGAGAAAATTCCCTGAAATATAGAGGATTGACAAGATAAATATTGAAGGAAAGAAGAGGGTTTTTATCAGTGGCAGAGCCTCGTTCGCCCAGATCTTAAGTATTGAATGTATGTTCTTTATTAAGTGAAATATCAGAATATTGAATTGATGTTCTTTATTAAGTAAAATGTTTACATTAATAAGTAGGTGATTAATAAAAATAGTTGATCAGATGATAATAGTAACACGTTATTAACAAATAAAAGGAGAATCAGCTAATACTGAAAAATTCACAATCGTGTAATCCAAATTTAAGTACTTCAGATACATCTAGTACAACATTGTAATATGATTGTACATCAAAAACTTAAAGATGCATAATAACTAGATCACATCGCACACAATACAACTATACCAGCACTCAAGTCGATCGAAACATGTTCTTAAAGAAACCAACTCGTCTTATTAGCTACCCAGCAACACATAAGGTGCAGTCCTAACGGGGTTCAATCCCTTTACAACTTGCACATTTAGTTCAATCCTCAGTGTTGCGTGATAGTCTCCGTGGAGTGTGTTTCTGATTGAGCTTTTCAGATTCTATGGTTCTGCACTAATTTAAGGTGCTTTTTTTTTTCACTTAGGAGTATCTTTTGACCAGACTAATCCCCTAAAATTTTGTAGAGTCTTGCTCTAAAGATACACAACGAAATAAGGTTTTGTAAAACCTTACCCCAAAGATACACATTGAGTTAACACACGGAATTGCCTACGTAATTATCAAACCACGGAACCAATCGAACTACCCATTTAAGGTGCTTGTTCACTTTGCACATTTAGCTCAATCCAGAATGTGTGTGATAGCCTCCAATAGTGTAATTCTGGCCTTCTGGCTGAACGGACTCCGTGGCTCTGCACTAAATTCGGACTCTGTGGTTCTGCACTAAATTCAAGTGCTTGTACGCTAGTTCTCAAACGGTTATATGGTTCAGCACCATTCATACGCTTCATGTGCTTGTTTTATGTTAGCTTTCTAATGATTACACGGTTCTGCAGCAACTCCACATGCATGTTCCATTTGTTAGTTTCCGAATGGTCATATGACTAATTCCAGTCTCCTTGGGCTCCCCCTCCTCCCTAGATTAGGATAGAATAAGTTATACAAATGTATCGTTACTGACAAAAGAAATATGACTAATTCCAGTCATAAACCATCCACATGCATGTTCCATATGTTAGTTTCCGAATGGTCATATGACTAATTCCAGTCATAAACCATCTTATTCATATTGCGTATGAAATAAATCTCTGTTATTATGTTATCATAAATCTTTGTTATTATGCACCTACCTGATGAGATACTTTCTATATTTGCAGAAAATGTCAATTTTGCCAACATGTAGTGATCAAACCTTGTAATATACAAATCTATTACAAATAGTTACCAATTATTCCTCTTACCTACACAGTATTACGAGTAATACCGAATTCCGTGTTACAGTTAGTTGATATGGTTTGGAAAACATTTCCCGGTGACGCATCAAAAAAGAAAAACATCGAAAAAAATCTGCTTGTTTCACTTTTTCCAGCAACGCTAGGTTTCCATTGCCCGTAGGAACAAGTCCTTGCCATCATCATTCTCGTGTTGCTGAAACACAAACGTCAACATATAACCAGTAACAAAATCTGAAAGTAACTAGGCCCCAGCCACATCCTGCGACTAAACTTACCAAACGGACTTCAGGAAAAATCCCAAGGATATCAACTTAAGAAGACAAAATCACTTTACTACATAAAAATAAATGCACTAACCATATTGTATATCTGTATGCATGAGACATTATAGAACGCTCTAAACCATCTCATCTGTCAAAATTACAATGTTACTAACAAGGGATAGCGTAAACAAAAAGGCATGATAATCAAAATGAACCAAGTTCAGCGCATGAAAGCCAAAAAGCTCATTCATCCTCCTGGCTCCGCAGCCTAGCAAGCTTGTTAGTAACAACAACATCTAGCTGAGCTGCACGCTCCACTATCTCTTTTCTCTTCTTTGTGGACACGTTGTGTGCAATCTCAGCACAGTAAGTCCTGGGTAACATAAACAATAGATGTTCAGAAGACAAACCATCAAGATGAACCAAACTCC